GATTGAAAAACACAACTGATTTATGAGTTTTGCTCATAGACTGAATGCCTTGCTGAGTTTCCCGCTTGCTACTAAGTTCTCTAAGTCTGTGTGTATACACGCTTGCTGGACTGCATGTCTGTCTGAGTGCTGGTTCGCTTGAGTGTGTGTGTGGCCCGCAAGGGCACTTGTTCGTTCGTTGGGCCCTCCGGGCCGATACTTACCTGTGGCCGTGACATTGAGGGATTGCAGCAGGGGAAAACACTCAAGTAGCAGGTAGGCCGATACCGCACCCTGAACTTCCCTAAAGAGGTAGATGTGCGGGTACTGGAGGCCGAGCAGAAGAAGACAAAAGTGACATTTTGAAGAGGCCCAGTAGTTGTAGGCTAGGTCTAGGCGGGTACCAGTCCAACCAGTCTGTGTCTAGGGCCTGTACGAGCAATATCAGAGTCTGCAATGATGTTTCCCTCCGAAAGGGAGGAGGTACTGATTGCTTTGGAAGGCCGAGCGGCCTAGAAATCACCGCCCAAGAGGCAAGCAGGCCGCTATATCTCCAGGCCGGGCGAAGAGCCCAGTCTCATTGTCGGTGTGCAAGTTTGGTGACACACTGGTTGGGGCGCTGGCTGGAGCAGCGCTAGCTTGGAGCAGCGCTGCTGGGGAAGAAGCAAGGACTTGGAGGCGGAAGAAGGACAGGAAGGGGGAGGAGCGCCAAGATACTTACCTGGCTATGGTGGCAGCCATCTTCATCACCTTGGTGGGCGCTGCAGCAGGAAGGCCCCAGCGGGGGTAGAGCTACACCGAGAAGCTTCGAGGCAGAGTCTGGCATGGCGGCCTGAGCTTGAGCAGCCATAGCTGCTTTGGGTTGTCTTTGGGCATTAGAGCAAGGCCCAAGTAGTCCGCCATAGCCTCGACGTTGGACAAGGAAGAAGAAGGGTGGCCATGGCTATGGTGGACCTCATGTGATACCTGCAGTAGAAGAGGGATTTGGACTTTGATTCTGGTTCAGCTATTCAACATTGTATTATTATTTCTTGTGTGAATAAGAGAGGAGGAGATAAGGAGGAAGAGAGAGTTGAGCGAAGAAGAAGAGCTTTATCATTTGTCTATGCTGGTGTACATCATCTTCTTCTTCTTTTGTACTTCTTCTTCTTCTAACCTTCTCTCTCCTCTCAAGTTCATTCATTTCTTTATGCAATTGGACCACATTGTACTATCTAATTAATGTGTATCTCGAAATTGGCCAGGATCATAACATTGGTATTAGAGCGGATTCTACTTGCTGGTGAGAGTTGACTTTGCTGCCCTAACCCTAACCTAAGTGGTTGAGGGCAACACTTAGGGTTAGGGTTGGATGTAAGGGAAGTGGGGCAGCGTGGCTAAGGGAAGCTGCCCCCACCTGGTTAGGTCATGTGGGGTCGACATTGAACCTAACCAGGTTGCCTGAGAGTGAGATTAGGGTGGCGAGGCATTTCGTGGAGACTACATGCGGCAACTTGAGAGAGGCGACAGTGAGAGGCACTCACATCTGGAATCTGATTCAAGGGAGACACTTGGCAACTTAAGGGCTGCCCTCACGTAGGCGAACTTGAGGGTCGGCGACCATTCAACATCTACGGACTGCAAGTTGCTACTTTGTTCTCCAGCATCGGCGGGGGACCTGGCATTGCACTTGGTGTTGGAGTCAGATCCTCCTAGGAGATAGGACACTAGTGTAGGGGTAGCGTTAAATGGGTCAGGAGGGGCAGACAAATGGAGGCGGAGAGAAGAGAGAGGGGCGAAGGTGAGTCCTCCTGCCCGTGCCTTGCTGTCCAGGTCTTACCTGCGATGGCAAGGTGTGACCTTGGCCTGCGACGAAGACCGGAGCTATGGATGCTCCTGCAGGTAAGTCGGCCGCTCTTCCTCTAACCTCCGCTGCGCTAATCTGCGCTGCATCGTGCTGGTGCGCTGAGCGCTTGCGCTACTTATACTAATTTGATTTCCTGAGCGCATTAATTCAGCTTTAGCGCAGCGCTACGTCACTGTTGCGTTCCTCCGAAAATGCCTCCCGAACAGACCGCTGCTGGGTACTAAGTACCGTGGTGGCCTGTTCGGACTTTCTGCTGCGAAACAGCGCCGTGATCTGAACCGTCAGATCCGGTTGCCGATCTGCGGTTTCAGATCGGCCTTGCGGGCGACAACCTTAAGGGCGCCGCCGGTCCAAACGGTATATCGTTTGGACCGTGTCCACCTGGGCATGTGCGACGCGGCCTACCGGGCGGCCTTCCGCATAAAGGTCCGGCCTTTGGACCGGACCGGCTTGGACTATCGTATCCACGCCTGTGGCACCCCCTAGGCCTGGTGGTCGGGCCCGAAAGGGACCCGTGTGAAATGCAGTATGTAACAGGGGTGGAACATGATCTGCCCGGATTGCAGTTGACCCCACAAGGCGTAGACCACATGGGGGATCTGCAAATGGCGGGCCAACATTGTTCGGATTAACCACAAATTTGTGCTCCGCCAACTTCATACAGGTCCTGCATGGCTGTCGTCAGCTCGTGTCGTGAGATGTTGGGTTAAGTCCTATAACGAGCGCAACCCTCGTCTTGTGTTGCTAAGACATCGCAACGATGTGCTGCACTCACAACACATGCAGACCACATGGGTGATCTGCAAATGACTGACCAGCAAACACCCCAACACAGTTTGGGCTAGCAACACCATCTGGGTGATCTGCAAGTTGTCGGTTAGCATCCGACAAACCAGCCTGAGAACCTCACCAATCTTTGTGGTCTGACGACAACTAATATCTGTCTTCACATTCTCCACCGCCCGTTTTATACACCATCAGACTTCCTTGCAATCGCCCTTCAACTTGATGCTGATGTTCACCAACTACAGCCAGAGGATTGTAATTATACCAGCGAAGGAGCCTGTACCATTGCTGTCCTAACAGTAGCAATGAGGGACTGTCAACTCGAACTACGCAATGCTCTCCATCCCACATGTCTGCCTGCATTGTGCATGGCCCTGTCATTACATGGCCATTGTACATGCCTCTGACCACTGGGAGCTGTGGGACAACGACACCATGGTCCATGCCATGATTGATGTCACTGATTTCTTGCAAAATGATGCGGTTTTCTTGCAGCAACAAACCGTCCGCAATCTCTATTATGTTGAAGATCATTCCTCTGGCCCCGTGCTGCAGCAAGACAATGTACCAACATTTTGTGACCTTCTCCTTTGCACAGCCACAAACATTGTTACACTTAGCTGTAGCCGCCATTGTCTCTGTCCCAATCACTACAATGGCATGGTTTCTGCATCCATGTGTGCAGAGGACTGTCCCACCGTTCCTGACTGCAAGCACCCTCCGCATTCGGACACTATATGTCCATTTTGAGGCCATGGGCGCTATACTGAATGCATGCTCTTTTGTGGTGACCGTTCTTCCTTCATTTTGACCTGCAATCGACATGCCATTTGTCAGGGGTGTATGGTGGGCATGCTCAATGCCAGCCGCCGTGGCAATTGTTGCCCTGAGAATGCTCAGCTAGGTCTTCCATGTGTTCATCCACCTCATCCTTACCATTTATGCCCTCTCTGTCGTCAAGGACGGACTCATTCTTGAGCCTTTTCTTATCCTCTTTTGCCTTCATCCTCATTCCACACTCCATACTTTCCCTTTATCGTTCTTTGTTTATCTGCTCTCCATCTCTCCTCCTTGTGTTTATTCCCTCCCCCTACACTTTGCCTTTCTCACAGCGTACAAGTGGGCTGTTATGGCACACGGGGATGGGGGCAGCTCGCGCTCAACTTCATCAACGTGGCGAGAGGCACGGTGAGAGGCACGGTGAAGGGGGAGTCGAAAGAAGAATGAGAAAAGTGAATGGTTTCAGTGCCCTTCATGTTTGTCTTGTTTTCTCAGTTTTTATTTTTTGCGGTTTGTTACGCAAAGTGCGCTCTTTTAGTTCATAGATATGTGACAATATATATATATATATACTCCGACGAAACAGTTTGTCACAACCCCTCGTTTGTTGTCCTCTTCTCCCTCTCTGCCTACGGTTTACCGGGCAGTTCTGTTTGACGATATATATATATATATATATCGTCAAATAGAACATATATATATATTATGACGATATATATATATATATTATAAATATATATATATATATATATATATATATGTTGTGTATCACCGACGACATCCGCGGCATCGTCACTTGTTCGGGGATCAACAACCTGTTTCTTTGTCTGCCCCGATTCTCTTTGTGCCGCCTCCACTGGTTGTTGGGGTTCCTTTGTTTCGAACGGCAATATCCGCTCCTATGCCTCCTGCAGACAGTCCAGCTGCCTGCAGGCAGCCACCAGTCCCTACTCAGGATGCAGCCGCTGCCCAGAGTACACTCCCGACTCCAGGTACAGTCCCTACTCAGGATGCAGCCCTAAACGTTGAGTGATTGGAACATGATCTGCCCGGATTGCAGTTGACCCCCACGTGCACGTAGATAGCGTATGCATAGCTTGTACACCATCCGCAAGAGAAACGTTCAGTTCGCCACTTAATTTCGAGGACTCGACGACGTGGTCAAGGCTTGAGGACCTCGACCCGCTCACGAGAAAGGACTTCTCTTGGATGCCTCTACCCTCCACCGGATCCTTGCCAAAGCCGCATTGTAACGCCTTGATGGCATATCTACGCTCCTACTTGCACACTGCAGTACCAGCTCCGTTGACGGACGACGGAGTAGTGGTTGTCGATTTCCGCTCCTATCTTGCGAAGATTGACCGCGAGCACCTACACTCCTTTGCTCTATATCCACATTCAAATCGGAAAGGCCACCTGCAGTGCCTTGATTGATTGCGGAGCGTCTCGCAACTTTATGAGCCAAGCCTTTATGGCCTGCGTGGGCCTCGGCCCGCGTTTGAAGGGAGACGCAACCTACGCAAGTCACACTCGCGGACGGCCGCGCGCAAAAGTCAATTAACCGATGCGTTAACGGCGTTCCGGTCTACTTTGCGCCACTTGCGTGCGAGCCGGTGTCTTTTGACATCCTCGACGCCAAGTTCGACATGATTCTAGGCATGTCTTGGTTGCGTAGCGCCGACCATCCGATAAACTTTCATGACCGACCCATTCACGCCCGTGATCGGAACGAAGTGTTAATCCCATGTACGGTCGCAACTCCTCACACTTCGATTGCTTGTCACATGGTTTCCGATGCGAGGATTCACGACGCCATAGCTTAGAATGACGTAGAGGAGATGGGCCTTGTCTTCTTACACGCCCTCCCCTCGACGGGCGGACCAGCCGGGTCGCCGTCGGACCCACGCATCACTCACCTTTTAAATGGGTATGTAGACATCTTCGAGGCTCCCACCAGAACGGTTCCGGATCGGCCCATACGTCATGGGATGACTCTTGAGGCTGGCGCCGTCCCTCCACGTGGATGCATCTACCGCATAAGCGAAGAGGAACTCGAGGTGCTTCGCGCACAACTCGACGATCTCCTCGACAAAGGCTGGATTCACCCTAGTTATTCGCCATACGGTGCACCTGTTCTCTTTGTCCGAAAGAAGAACAAGGACCTACGATTGTGGATCGACTACAGGAAACTTAACGCACAAACCGTAAAGAACGCCGACCCTCTCCCTCGGATCGATGATCTCCTAGAGTGGTTGGGCAGCGCGACGTACTTCTCAAAGTTGGACTTGAAGTCGGGTTACCACAAGATTGAAATCCAGCCTCAAGACCGGTACAAAACCGCCTTCAAAACGTGGTATGGGCATTTTGAGTGGGTTGTGACGCCATTTGGACTCACCAATGCCCCAACAACCTTCCAAGCAGCCATGACGACGGAATTTCGAGACTTGCTTGATCGTACCATCCTCATCTATCTCGATGATATCTTGGTCTATAGTCGGACGCTTGACGAGCACCTCGAACACCTTCGTGCTGTTTTGGATCGATTGCGAGCAGCCAAGTACAAAGCAAATCGCGACAAGTGCCAGTTTGCCAAGCAAGAGCTTGAGTACCTAGGCCATTATGTGACACCGAAAGGCATTCGTCCCTTAGCGGACAAGATCCAAGCCATCGTGGATTGGTCGGAACCCCGTTGCACGACAGACGTACGCTCGTTCATGTGTTTGGCTAGATATTATCAGCGCTTCGTCGAGTCTTACTCCAAAGTGGCAGCACCGTTGTCGAGATTTCAGTCCCCGAAGGTACCATTCGAGTTCGGCGATGCAACTCGTGGCGCATTCACTTCGTTGAAGGCGGCGATGCAAGCCGCGACGGCCCTTCATATTTATGACCCCACCCTACCCACCCAAGTGACTACGGACGCTTCCGGATACGGTATTGAAAACCCGAATGGTTGGCACCCGATCGAGTGCCTCTCCCCAAAGGTGACTCCTGTCAACTCTCTCGACGATGCTAGGAAGAAACAACTACTCGCGTTCATCACCGTTCTCAAACGGTGGCGCCACTTTCTTCTCGGTCGTCGGCGTCTTAGATGGAACACGGACAATAATCCGTTAACCTCTACAAAACGCAAGACACGGTCACGAGCACGATCGGTCGATGGATGTATTACATAGGACAGTTCGACTTTGAGTTGTGCCACATTCCCGATCGCGCCAACCGAGCAGCGGACGCCCTCTCACGACGGCCCGATCTTTGTGCCCTAGTGACTACGACGTTCCACCTCAACGACGACCTTCAGCAGCACTTTGGCAACAACTACAAGTCCGACCCGATGTACTCCACGCTATACACAGAGCTCTCATCGGATCATCCGCCGACTGGTCACTATCATATCTCCGACGAGTTCTTACTCTTACACACGAGAGGATAGGCCCTGTTAGTGGTGCCCCAAGATCGCATCTTACGAACTCGCCTTCTTGGCGAATTCCACGACGCACGACACACCTTGACGTGACCTGCACATTGGCCTGCGTTTTCATTGGCCCGACATTCTTCACGACGTCACGAGGTACATTGAGTCATGCGCAGTTTGCCATCGTAACAAAGGAAGATCTCAGGTCCCTTATGGCGAACTGAAACCGTTGCCGATTCCTCGAGCACCTCGCCTCTCCATTGCTATGGATGTTACAAGCCCCTTCCCCCGCGATCGTCTCGATCATGACGACATCCTCACGATCGTTGACCGTTTGAGCAAGTAGGCTCGTTTTCTTCCATGCAAGTATCGTGCTACAGCCCCCGAGCTCGCACGACTCTTGCACACCGGCTGGATTACCTGCCACGGTGTTCCGGAAGACATTGTGAGCGACAGGGACACTCGTTTTATGTTAGCCTTTTGGACTTCCCTCTCGGCGAGGACCCAAACAAGGTCTCCCTCGCGAAAAGGACATGGGAGTCGACGTCGGTTAGCTTGCTGCTGCATGCGGATTTGAGCCTTTTGCATATTTGCTCAGGGTTTTATCAACAGGTCCCGGTATTTCCGAACGAAAGCGGGAGAGCAAGCGACGTCGGTGTCCGCAGCCCGTGATAGAAGAAGATCGACAAAGACTCAGGCTTTCTCTCCACCGTGATGCAACTCGAATGGAGTGATGCAGATTGTCGGGTGCACCGAAGTGTTATAGGCGAACTCGATGTCAGGAAGCCGGTCAACCCAATCTTTTCGGTCGGGACGGATGAGTGTACGCAACATCATGATGCGCCCGTTCCGACTGCCCATCCGTCTGTGGGTGCCGTGCGGAACTCGGCTTCATAGTCGAACCGCGCGCAAACTCCTCCCGAAATGGTTTGGACCATGCAAGGTAGTTTCTGCAGCAGGCGACGACCCTGCTGGCCCTGCTATTGTGATTGCCATTCCACCACACCTCCGCGTGCACCCAGTCTTCCATGCATCAAAGCTGGCTGTGTATACGCCACCATCGGAGGACGAGTTCCCAGGCAAACGATCGCAGGACCCGCCCTCTATGGATGGACACCAGGAAGTTGACCGTGTCATCATGCATCGCAAGTTTGGCAACAAGCCAATGCAATACAAAGTCACATTCAAGCAATGTGCACCTGATGACACTCGCTGGATCTCCCGTGCAGACTTACAGACATCCGCACCACTCATCTTCTCTGACTACGAGAACCGACGACTTGCCAAGAACAAGTTCGTCCCACGCGACCCACTCAGGTATCGGACAGGCCAAGAACAAGTTCGTCCCACGCCCTCGCAGATAGCTCGGTCTTTTAAGAGGGGGAGTGTGTTACATACTGCATTTCACACGGGTCCCTTTCAGGCCCGACCACTAGGCCTAGGGGGCACCACAGGCCTGGACACGATAGTCCAGGCCGGTCCGGTCCAAAGGCTCGACCTTTATGAGGAAGGCCGCCCGGTAGGCCCCATCGCACAGGCCAGGCAGACACGGTCCAAACGATATCACCGTTTGGACCGGCGGCGCCCTTGAGGCTGCCGGCCGCAAGGCCGATCTGAAACCACAGATCGACAACTGGATATGACGGTTCAGATCACGGCGCTATTTCGCAACAGAAAGTCCGAACAGGCCACCACTGTACTTGGTACCCAGCAGCGGTCTGTTCAGGAGGCATTTTCAGAGGAAAGCGGCAGTGAGGTAGCGCTGCGCTAAGTTTAGTAGCGCAAGCGCTCAGCGCATCAGCATGATGCAACGCAGATTAGCTCAGTGGAGGTTAAGAGGAAGAGCGGTCGACTTACCAGCAGCGCCAAGGTCACACCTTGCCATCACAGGTAAAGACCTGGACAGCAAGGCACGGGCAGGAGGACTCACCTCCGCCCCTCTCTCTCTTCTCTCCGCCTCCACTTCTCCTCTGCCCCTCTCAGATCTTCTTCTTCTTCTTCTCCTTCTACTTCAGGCTTCTTCTTCTTCTTCTTCTTCTTCTTCAGACTGGAGACTACTGATACGAGTTGGACAGAGATCAGTGATTGGACTTCGGTGGTAGGAGGATGTGATACTTACCGGATTCGAGACATTGAAGATGGTTGCGATTGTTACCTGGCGGCATCGCAGATCGAACACCGGTACATTAGGATTCCGAACCTCCGACATTGATGACTTATGTCAACGACATTCTGATTTTGTTCGGTGACATTTTGGGCTACTATATCGGTGACATTTTGGATTCTATTTCGGTGACATCTGGCGCTGTCCATATCTCCCACCTCCATCGTCTCTCCTCCCACCATTCATCTGTGTATGGGTGTACGGGGCTGAAGCATCGTCTATGTATGGCTTCAGACCCCACCATCTCACGATAGACTTCCGCTGCATATATGCTCATCCTATATTGGTTGATCTTTGGTTTTGCCCATACTTGGTGAAGGTATTCCCTAGTATGCAACAATCCCTCAACGTTAAGGGCTGCATCTTGATTAGAGACTGTTCCTAGAGTCGGGAATGTACTCTGGGCAGCGGCTGCAACCTGAGTAGGGACTGTACCTGGAGTCGGGAGTGTACTCTAGGCAGGGACCACATCGTGTTGTGCAGGTGAGTCGTGAATACCTAACGCCGCAGGGTACCGTTGCTGCCTGCAGGCAGACTGTCTGCAGGAGGCATAGGAGTGAATATTGTTATGTATATATAATATATATATTGACACATAACTATGAACTAAAAGAGCGCAATTGCGAAACAAACAGCATAAACAAACATTAAAAGATGAGACAAACATGAAGGGCACACGAAAACCATTCATTTTTCTCATTCTTCTTTTAACTCCCCCTTCATCGTGCCTCTCACGTACAAGGCTCGCCACATTGATGAAGTTGAGCACGAGCTGCCCCCATCCCCGTGTACCATAATGGTCCACTTGTACTCTGTGAGAAAGAGGCAAAGTAAAGGGTGAGGGGATAAACACACGGAGGAGAGATGGAGAGCAGACGAACAAAGAACGATAAAGGGAAAGTAAGGGAAAGTACGGAGTGTGGAGGCTCAAGAATGAGTCTGTCCCTGACGATAGAGAGGACATACATTGTAAGGATGTGGTATATATATCACCAAACAGAGCTGCCCGGTAAACCGTGGGAAGAGAGGGAGAAGAGGACAACAAACGAGGGGCTGTGACAAACTGTTTTGTCGGAGTTTCACCGACTCATCAGGAGGCTGAACCCTCAACAATCTGCAAAATCACCTAACTGATTATACTATAAGTGATAATCCAACCCCAACTGTGGCTAAGCATCAACAACTGCCCGACAACTGATACCCTGAGGTGGGATCAAGGTACCCGTGACGAAAATCAAAGAAGACTATCACTCACCCACACCTGATGGAAAACTCTACAGATTGTCGGTTCACACCTCGTCACAAGCCAGCAAAACACCCACGAAACAAAGAAAGGCCTCACAGCAAAAAAATACACTCCAGACACACCGCTGGCACTAGAGGCACAACATGGTCATGCAGTGATGGCCCCGACCACTGCCGCTCAACCTCACTTGAGAAAACCGTAGCAGGGTGCTAGCGAAATCGTGGTATATATCGTCAAACAGAGCTGCCCAGTAAGCCGTAGGCAGAGAGGGAGAAGAGGACAACATACAAGGGGCTGTGGCAAACTGTTTTGCCGGAGTTTCACCGACTCATCAGGAGGCTGAACCCTCAACAGTCTGCAGAATCCTTAACTGATTACACTAAGTGATAATCCACCTTAACCCCGGTTGTGGTTAAGAATCAACAACTGCCCCGCAACTTATACCCTGAGGTGGGCACCAACCACTGCTCTCAAGATACTTGTGAAACAGACTATCACTCACCCACACCAGATGGAAAACTCCACATACTGTCGGTTCACACCTCATCACAAGCCAGCAAAACACCCACGAAACATATATATAAATCGTCAGACAAAGCTGCCAGTAAACCATTGGCAGAGAGGGAGAAGAGGACAATATATATGTAAAGAGTGCACAAACAAAACGCTATACAAAGTACTGCACACATTGAAAACAACGAAAAGGCCTGTGAAACAGGTTCACCCAGTTAACCCGACATTTGCAGACACATGGACTCGATCCCTAGACCTGTCCCTAAACCCTGTACATTGACCCTGTGTGTTGTCCCTAAGCCCTTTGGATAGTTAGTAGGTCTGTTCGTTAGCTATCACGCTTTGATCCACAGATCACCGTTTTAGCAGGTTAGTGTGTTACCACTAGGTCTAGCCAGGGCCTATCTAGAAGTCTCTACCAGTCTGTATGTAGGGGCCTAAGGTCTATCCATGGGTAGAGTCTAGAAGGTCGTAGAGTTGTCTGTATCTGTCCCGTCAGCAAGTACCAGGCAAGTGGGGGTTCCACGAGGTAAGTCCCACGCGGTTTCCCACAGATTCCACGCGTTTTGGCCCAGCATGCCAACGTGTTATGGAGGCTTCCGGGCCCAGGCCCATGCGGTTTGGGGTCCAGGCCACACGTTTTGAGGCAGGGCCAGGCCACCTGCGGAGGACTATAAATAAAGAGGCAGCGACCAGCCATTCATTCATTCGCCTGTGAGCCATGCGGAAGCGCTGCCTTGGTGACTTGTGCGTTAAGGTCTACAGGTGCCCGGAGCTGAAGTGGGCAGTGACGGAGACGACGTCCATAGCTGGCCAGGAGGAAGACAACGACGGCCATGGCTAGGAGGAGGAAGACGACGACGGCCATAGCCGCCCATCTGCCGACAAAGACAAGTGTTCAGTGTGTGTGTGTGTGTGTCTTTGTAGCGTGGACATTCCGGGTAGATCCTCGTACATGCATGCAAGGGGGAGAGTGAGGCTGGTGGTGGATACAGTGTTCGGCGGTCATAGCCGCAAGTTGTACAGTTGACTCGAATTGAGTTTACATACAAGTTCATTGGTGATTTTGAGTTGGAAGAGTTTGGTTTTGCCATCAGTCCGCGTGTGTGGATGTTACAAGCAAGTTTGGACTGCAGTCTATTTTCACTGGTATCAGGGCTGGTACACGTTGTCCACACCGGCGCTGCAGCAAGCGAGGAAGGAGAAAGCCAGCAGAGGAGCAGTAGAGAGAGAGAGAGAGAGAGAGAGAGAGAGAGAGAGAGAGAGAGAGGAGGACACAACGAACGACAACCATAGCTGCTGAGCTCGAAGAAGAAGACGACCGGCAAGAGAGGAAGAAGAAGTGACGCAGAGAGAAAGAAGAAGAAAGTTGACAAAGAGGAAGGTGAAGCAGCCATAACCAAGGTGCAGGAAGAAAAAGAGGGCAACGAAGGAGAGGGTTGACTACCATAGCCAGGAGGTCGGAGGGTTGACCAAGGAGGTTGACCAGCGTTGACCAAAGGTTGACCAAGACCATTGACTGGCGTTCACCGAGGTTGATCGGGGGTTGACCAAGGCCATTGACCAGCATTGACCGAGGCCGACCGCAGCATTGACCAAGATTGTTGACCGGCGTGTTGACCAAGACCGCTGACCGGACCATTGACCAAGGTGGAGCAAGAAGACGACCGGTATCATCTCTCTAAGCCTGGCCTAGCCCTTACCCTGTGGATGTGCACCCTCACCTTGGTACTTGCTGATGTCAGGTCTGTCAGAGTTTGTCATATCTCCCTGTCGCTTATATCCAGGTCGATAGGACTCCGTGGATGTGGTCGCAAAGCTGCGAGCCCAAACCCACACGGGACTTAGTAAGGTTGAAGGCCGCGTCTGAAGACTGACACGTCCCGGGGACAAGACCCCTAAGGACCGGTACTGACCGACTGGCTGCTCAGTGTGGCGTGGTAGGCCCGAACTCCGAGTTGTGGGCTGTGCGCCCAGCTGTCTAAGTCTTGAGAGGACTCGGCTGATCGCATCGTCCTATCTTCAACGTTGAAGAATTATCGAGGAGTTTGGGGGATCTCCTTAGAAGGCCTTCTGATCAGCCAGTGAGTCTTGTGGTGACAGCCTTAGAGTAGACGCGAGTAGTAGACAATAAGTTATGCTAGATCCAAGTTTAGACTAGTAGGTCTACGTGTTGAGAAGCGGAATCATCGGTGATTGTGCACTTTCACCATGGTGACCACCAGGGCGAGAGTGAGCACCACTCTCTATGGTAGAGGGCAAGAGGAGAAAGTTGCCGCCCTTCTGAGAGAAAGAAACGAGAGGATGGAGAAGAGGGGACTGATCAAGCAGGCGAAGATGTTGGCCCTGCTAGAGGAGCAGGAGGCGAGGAAGAAGCAAATGGAGGAAGAACTGGAACGATGGAAGGAGGACCATGAGGAGAAGATGGCAGCAGTGGAAGAAGAAGTGGAAGAAGAAGAAGTAGAAGAAGAAGATGTTGAGGAAGAAGAAGCCTTGCAAAAAAGAAGAGGGGAGGCGAGTACCAATAATTCCACACAGAAGAGATAGGAAGAGTAACAAAAGAGTGGGCGTCACATATAGAGTTGGGAGAGCAGAGAGAAGCAAAGATGATTGTACCCGAGGCTGAGAAAGAAGCAGCAAGGAGAGAATGGGAGGCGGAAAGGGACCCCTTGCATATGTGAGCAAGGGAACATGAGAAGCATTTGGAATAGAACTTGCGCCTGACACAAGAAAAATTAAGGCGTCTGGAAGCAGTAGAAAAGTTAGATAGGGAGTCGAAGGCGGCAAAGATCAGGATGGGGAAGATCAGGGAAGAGACTGAGATAGGAACCAAACTCGACACCCTGATCCATAGTGTAGAATCCTTACTGACCGCGCAAAGGGAGCAAATGAAGCACCTTCGCAACCATGATATTGAGTTAAAGTCAATACGCGTTGGATTAAAAGATTTTGCGCATGATATGATGACATATCTTGTGGAACAGATGCAACTTGCAATCAGTAAGACAAAGGAATTCTGCACAGGCGCCATAGAGGGCACCAAGTTAGCGGCTTCCAAGGAAGAGGAGCCAGCCCCATGCCGCGAGAAGGTCAAGGTCCATTTCCCTGAGCCCTTCACTGGGAAGAAGGGGGAGGACTTTGACACCTGAGAAGCTAACGCCAACTCCTATCTGTACTTGCAGGGCGTAGCACCAAAAGATCATGTCTTAGTGGCCTTCAAGCCCTGCGGGAGGAAGCGACCAGCTTCACAAGGTCGCTTGCACGCGCCGCACACTGTGAGAATGATATGGTGCAGTACTCAAGGATAACTCCCCTCTCCGAGTTCCTTAAATCTCTTAGGGGACGATTTTCAGATGTCACGTGGGGGCTTAAAACCTCTGACAAATTGCAGATGATCCATACCCGACAGTGGAAGAGTGTACACGCCCTTAAGTCCGCCATGGACGAGTTGACCGCCGTACCCGGGCATGGAGTCACTGACAATCAGTTAGTCCAACTCTTCTACCGTGCATTGCCCGAGCATGTGCAAGGGCATTTCTTCACCTGAAAGCAGCAGCCAGACATCGCGTATGATGAGATGCTGTCTCATTCACTGTTCAAGTGTTGCCAGTTACCGCGTTCTCGCTCAAAGATCTGACAAAAGGAAAAACGTGGAAGGGACGCACCATCTCTGGCCAGGTCAAGCCCAAAGATAGTCTGATTTTGATGATAGAAGAAGGTGGTGCTGAGGAGATTCCCTACTCAGACATTGAGTGGGGACTTGAGGAAGAAGACAATAGGGTAGAACAAGGGAGAACCTACGCTGCTATTGCGGTCAGAGGGAGGCCGCAAGAAAGAGGGCCCAACCGAAATGGTCGGGCCCCAAGTGGCCGAGGGCAGGGTGGCCAAGGGGTTGGTGGCAATAGCGACCACCAAGTGGGAGGAAGGGGTCAAGGTCCCCCGTCTAACCGTCCGCGTCAAAGTCGATCATCTCCCAAACAAGGAAGGTGACACCCAAGTCTGCCCGAGGGTCGACCTTGGGAGGATCTGGGGATAGGGCAGAACGTGTCGCATAAACGCATAAAGAGGTTTCAGTGCGTGTTCTGCGGGGATCATGGTCACATTATAAAGTTATGTCCAAAGTATAAGGACCCCAAAGTTATGTCCAACGTATAGGGACCGCTATGCTGCTTCTGGGGCAGCAAAAGACAACCATCGGTAGGGGTTGCAACTGCCCCTACCCCAGGAGTATGTGGATCTAAGTGTGCCCGCAAGGTAGAGTCTCCGACTCCACATATCTCCATGGCAGAGGTTGCTGGCCAGCGTCTAGCAAGCTGTCCAAAGACTGCTTGTCTCAGAGGCTCTCTAGACGCTTCCCTCACATGCTTAGCTGAGGAGTTGTAGGAGAGGAGGCAAGCCTGGGCCAAGATGAAGAAGGATGGGAAAGGACAGCTAATCCTCGCAGGCATAGAGATCTTTAGAGCTAGAGTAGGAACCCTCATAGATAGCGGGGCCACTAGGAGCTATATTAGTCGCAAAGCATTGAAAAAGCTAAAGCTCAATCTGAAAGTCCAACGACTGAGTGAACCTGTAGTCATCATCCTTGCCGACGGCAGTAGGATGTGAGTCGAGGAATACGTTGAAGGCGTTCAAGCATATTTCCTTCTAGAGAAGGAAGGAAAAGTAGAGAAGGTCCTTCATTCCTCGACTCTTCTTGTGGAAGAGAATCTCTCATTTGATATAGTTCTGGGTACAAATTGGCGAGAGGCAGTAGGAGCCACTTTGCACCTTAGTGAGTACAAGTGCAGGCTCCCTAGTCTGTCAGGTGAAGTTAAGCAAGTCCGCCTGTACCATGAGTCCGAGGTAAACAACCCCCCCACGCATTGCTGCCTCCGTGCACCTGCAAGCTCCCCTTCGTAGATTACTAAAGAAAGATACAATTTGGAAGTGGGACCAAGATTGCACGTCGGCCTTCAAGAAATTGAAGAAGGCCTTAATAGAATACCCTGTCCTCAAAGTCGTTGATCCGTCACTGCCATTTGTCGTCATTACATATGTTAGTCAGGATGGCATAGGCACAGTTTTGCAGCACAATGACGGCAATGGATACAAACCCGTAGAGTTCATGTCAGCCAGGCTGCCCTGAGAGAAGGTTGCAGCATCGACATACGAGAGGGAACTCTGCGCTCTCAGGCATGCCTTAGACCACTGGAAGCACTACCTGCTTGGGGCACACTTTAAGGTGCATTCAGATCACGAGACTCTCAGATGGTTAAAGACCCAAGCCAAGATGACGACCACATTGACTAGATGGGCTGCTGAGATAAACCAATTTGACTTTGAGCTAAAGCCCATTAATGCATTATACACCTCATGTAGATTTCACTTTCTACAGTGTAGAACATATTGAGAGAGATTTTCAAGGAGGCTGGCTACTTCGATATATGCACGCCAATGGAGCAAGTATGCGGGCACCCGTTACGTTACCTGAAGTTAATTACGAAAGACTCTAACAAGAAGAAAGAGCTTGTGCAATCAATTCTGCACTCTGGACATTCGGCTTACTGCGAATTCGAAAAAGGAAAGTATACTGTGGTAGCCGGCGCTCTAAGCAGAAGGGCATATTACTTCGGAGCGATAGTGCACTATCTAGACATAGGGGCGGATCTGCAGCAGAAAGTAAGAGATGCATATGCGCAAGACCCGATTTATAGTGAGCTACTGAAAAGATTAAAAGAAGCCCCAGAAAATGAGCCACACTACCGAACCACAAACAGGTTACTGTTTGAGAAGACCACCGTCCCTGACAGACTGTACGTCCCCAATAGTGAAGAGATCCGTAGTCTGATCTTAGGGGAATGCCACGATATAGAAGGGCACTTCAGATGGCAAAAGACTCTAGCTAATTTGATGATGTCATGCACGTGGCCAGGCATGAAAGCAAATTGCATTGAGTATGTCCGCAGTTGCAAAGTATGTCAGGGCAATAAGACAATAACGAGAGCTCCACTAGGTCTTCTTAGACCCTTGACTATTCCATCAAGACTCAGACAGTCAGTTTCCATCGATTTTATTGATACTGGGTTTAAAAGTAGGCATGGCAAAAGTCAAGTTATGGTCATAGTAGACTAATTTAGCAAATATGTAGTGTTTGTTCCTTTGCCTTCAGAGGCACGTACCGACTTAGTGATAGGAAAGTCGAGACTTGCAAGGTACGGCATTGTCCTCTGACAAGGAGAATCGAAATCACATCAATAATAGAGATTATTGATGTGATTTTGATTGCCTCCAAGAGACCCGCCCAAGTCTCATTTGCATGAAATTAAAGAATTCTTGATATTGATTATAGTATCAATCATAAATGAATATATAAATATAAATGAATATATAAATATAAATGAATATATAAATATAAATGAATATATAGTCTACCGTTGTTCATTGTCAGTGATAGAGACCCACGGTTTACCAGCCAGAACTGGCGGGATACGGATCTAAGCTGCTGATTTTGTCCGACCGCCATCCAGAGACAAACGGTCAGACAAAACAAATGAATGAGATCTTGCAGCAGCTACTCAGAATGTACATTAGACCGGATCAGGGGAGCTGGGATGAGATGCTCCCCAAGGTAGCAAGCGCCTATAACAACAATGTTCATCTGGCTACCTGTAGGACTCCCAACGAGCTGCGTAAGTCCTTTAGGCCAAGACGACCGTTTGAAGTACTGAACCAGGATCAGATCCAGAGACTACTGCCCGACACCCGAGAGTTTGCACTGCATCATGAGCAGGAAGTCGCTACGGTGACTGAGAACCTAAGGAAGGTCCAACATCGTATGAT